GAAAGCAGCAAGGACGACAGTTTTTTTTTTTTGGAGGAGACGCCGATATTGATCTGTGGCAGACTCGAGCACATGAAAGCGCTCCAACAGCTCGTCGCGGAATAAAGGAGTGAGTACCACACCAAAAGCCGTAAATTGTAAACCTTTTTAAAGCCAATTGAAGCGATACGGAGTTCTCCGTTCCACCAAATAAGGGGCTTCACCAAATGGACGATTGTCCTTACCTATGAAACCGAGTTCGAGCCCCCCTTTTTTTTGATATCCCGAGTAATGAAAAAGGTTGCTTCTCCGGGCCGGTCTAGAAATGCGTTCCATAGATATGTTGCGATCCCACGTACGCCAGTCGCAATCATCCCTTCTCTACAGAGCAGTGAAAGGATGCATATCGTTTAAGTTTCATTTATAGATTGTTTGATTCAAATACTTTTTAAAGTCGAGCCAAATATTCTTTTGGAACCCGATATCTGCCTAATTTAAATTACATGCAGCACTCATGCAGATTAATTAAGTCTTTATAGTATTTGGGTAAGCATAGGAATTAAATTGTAGTTAAGTAGAATAAGAGAAAATAATGAATTGTTCATTATTTCAATTGAATAATGAATTGAAGGGAAAGTAAGAGATGTGGAATGTGGAAGTAAGAAATGAATTCCATAGATATGTTGTGATCCCACGTACGCCAGTCGCTATCATCCCTTCTCTACAGAGCAGTGAAAGGATGCATAACGTTTAAGTTTCATTTATAGATTGTTTGATTCAAATACTTTTTGAAGTCGAGCCAAATATTCTTTTGGAACCCGATATCTGCCTAATTTAAATTACATGCAGCACACATGCAGATTAATTAAGTCTTTATGGTATTTGGGTAAGCATAGGATAAGAGAAAATAATGAATTGTTCATTATTTCAATTGAATAATGAATTGAAGGGAAAGTTATATGTGGAATAGAGAATCATTAGACATTTAAGCATAGCTCGAAAATAACTGTTAACCTGTGGCTGGCGTCTCAAAATAAGTGTGGTTCAATGAGTCTTTGATTAAAAAGTCTGAGAGAAACCGTTTGCTTTGTTGGTATACAAACTTTTTGTATATTCGCAACCAGTTTATTATTCTCAACAATCCACTGTATAAGCGGTATATTATGAATTGTTAGGTAAACTTTCGTTATGATCCGAGCTCCTTCTATTCTTTTGTCAATATGCAACGTAAATCAAATATTTTTTCTCGTTCCCTATCATGTAAAAATATTTCACATTCTTCTGAGCTAGGTATTGCTAATCTCTTTGCGTCATTTTTTCAAACAATTTATACGTCCGATTTATATAACCTCAATTATTCGTATTCCTATAAATTATAACGCATGCGTCTAAGTGTAAGGTTATAACGTTCAATCGCAGTGTGCCTCACATCGTCTCCTACTCACTAGGGAATAACGTCTTAGATCCGGTTTTCCTAATAATCTTGGAGTCCTTTTTGACAATAGGTTGTCGTCCAATGGACACATATCATTATCAAACGTTGGTCAACAAAATTTTTTGATCATCCTTTCACAACTAAAACTATTGTATTCCTATCTTGGAATACTGTTCGTGAGTTTGGAGTCCGCAATGTTCATCAAAGGACGATTGAATCTGTCCAAAAGCAGTTTCTGTTATTTGCATTAAAAATTTTAAGCTGGGATACTGTCACTTGCCTTCCGTCGGTCGTATTGTTGCCGGTTAAACAGATCATTGTTAATAAAAAAATAATTCAAAAAGTTACACATTGTACCACTGTGCATCGAACAGAATTCAATGTGTTTGGCTATTAATTGACTTTTTCGGTCAATGAGGGTCTCTGTGCGAACCTCAATCATATCTTTTGTGAGCGATGTTCAGTAGGCGAGCATTTTACGAATCTCTCAACTCTCCAATCAAAAGAAAGTAAGTCCTGCTCTGAAAGAGAGTGATTATCAAAATTTTGTTCGGTTGTTTTCTTAAAATTAAGATAAGGAAAAAAAGGTTAAAGGTAGGAAAAAGGTTATTTGCGAACTGTGAGCATTGGTATTAGTAACGAATAGCAGAAAGTAGGCTGTGAGCATGACGTTTTACACATATATACTTTATGTGTATGGCAGAGCTCGGGCAGAGAAATTTTCTATGCCCGGAGGATAGGGCCGTGCCGACCACTGGTCTAGGGCAACAGTAGACAGGAAAATCACTATCATCCAACTAATAAACCTATTCAAATACCAAAAAAATGTGATAACGAAGCGTCTTTCCGCTCTGATACGATTATGTCGTTAATCGAAAATCAGTATGGCGTAAATCTTATAAATGCACGCCCACTGCACAGAAGTTTAAACAGATAAATCGAACGCCTCAATTGTTATTGAGGACAATTGAATGGAATAAATATTGATTTAATAATTAACTAGAGAAAAGATAATTCGCCTCGTTTAATTGGCCGCCCCCTAGCCGCTAGTCCCACACTTTAGCCCCACACACCGCTAGTCCCACACACCGCTTGGAATTCTGCAGAAAGGGTCGGACCACGGCCACAATGGTTTTGAGTTTAGTTAAGCAGTAAAGTTTCTCGCGTAGGATTTTAGGAGGGAAAGGACCAACTTTATCATGATCACGAGAGCAAAAGGATGGAAGAGATGGCGCTACAGTCGCTTGGAAAGCAGTATCAGTCAGCAAACCAATATCTAACCACGCCTGGAAATTGGCACCTAGAACCGATCGTCCCCTAGAAGAGAAGAAGGACGATTCTAATTCAGTTGTAGCAGTTACGAAATGACCAAGTCCCAAGAGAAACAGCCAGCGACTCGCATCACCTGGAAATTAGCATGATCAGAATGAGATGCAAAGCAGAAAAAAGAAGAACAAAAAGCAGCGTGTATTGGTGGTATGTATTTAAAAGAAGTATTTGTAATGTTTTTTAGGTTATGAAAGTAAAGTAAGAAAAGATGAATCCAGCAGAGGCAGAGAAGGGGGCAGCGTTGAAGGTGCCGACAGCTGTCGGCACAGACTGTTCCGCTGGAGAGCGTATCCAGAGAGAGATAAAGAAGAGAGAGTTAGAGGCTTCGAACAGAACAGTATAATACATACTTATTATATACCATCTGAAAGGTATTGATTTGTAGATCATATATATACATATATATTGGATCGTGCTTCAACGGATCAAAAGATATATAGATTCAATCTTTATTTTCAATTTTTAAAATAAAAGTTATTGCGTAATTTTTCTATAAAAATTGATACTTAATAATTATTACTAATTTTTTATTATTAAAATAATTTTAATTATTAAAAATCAGTTTTTTTCGTAAAAATTAAGAAATAACTTTTATTTTGTAATTTTTTGCTTTTTTAGTTATAATCGTTACAGTCCCTGGTTTATGCGATGGAAATCACGATTTCTTGAAACCGCGATATATATAGATATATATATATCTTTAGTCTGGTCAGACTTTTACAAAAAGTAACAAGAAAGGAAAGCTAACTTCGGGCGGAGCCGAAGTTGATATACCCTTGCAATTAAATCCGGATATATATCGCAAACATCGGATATATTTGGCCGGTCTTTATAAGAATATCATAATAAAATCAATTAATTACAATAAAATAATTAAATATCTAAAAAAATCCCAAGCTTCCATCTTAAAAATACCAAAGTTGGTATTTCTATCAAAAACCATTTCCGATCGTTCAGTTCAGTTCGTTCATCCGATCGTTATGAAATTGTGTAGGTCAGATTAAATGACCATATCTAAAATCTGTACCAATTTTCAGTTTTCTATCTTCAAAAACGCCAAAAGTTGGGTTTTTTCCGATCGTTCAGTTATATTGCAGCTATAGGATATAGTCGTCCGATCCTTAAAATAACTCTCGTGTAAAATTTGAACTCTCTAACTTTAAAAACACCAAAGTTGTACCATTTCCGATCAATCAGTTATGTATGTATGTATATGGCAGCTATAGGATATAGTCGGCCGATCCCGGGCGTTCCGACATATATACTGCGTGCAAGGGAAAGAAGGGTGTGTGCAAAGTTTCAAGACGATAGCTTGAAAAGTAAGAGTCTAGTTTGTGTAGAAACAGACGGACGGACATGCTTATATAAACTCAGGATTATCCTGATTCGACCCCTATGCACTATACCCCTATACCCCTATATTGACCAAAATTATAATAACCTCTGCAAGGGTATTCAAAACTCCGAAACTTTCATGGGATCTTTAAAAACCTTTTTTAAGCTTTTAATTACTTGGGACTATCCTTTAAAAAAGAAACATGTTTTCATTTCTGTCTGTTTATTTACATAGCAGCTATAGGACATAGACAGCCGATCCCGATTCTGACCGATCAAATTTTAATATCGTTTGCTTTAAAACTTTTATTATACCTGCAATGGTATAACCTACTTCGGCCGCAGCGGGGAATTAATCCCGAGTTACATGATTTAAAAATGGATGAATATCCGTTAATCCATTTGAATTTAATAATACGTTTACTTCAGCTAGCTTTTCTTTTTCGATAAGTATTTATTGGTAGTTTTTAAGAAAATGAAAAACAGTTTGCTTTAATATAAATTTGATTTGAACTTTAAAATGTTTCTAGTAAATTTTTTTAATAGGAGGTTTGAAGGTTGAGCCTGGTAGTGTTTAAAGTTCTATTTTTTGCTTTGTTGTGATATTTTAATAAGTATATATAAGTATATTATACTTAAAGTACTTATACACGCATTATGTTTTTCGGGTACATGCATGTTTTTAATGGGCGGTGCAAAACGTATTTGTCTTTGACGTATTCAATACGTTAATAAGTAACAATTAATTAGGTGTTTCTTTCTTTTAGTTGATAAAGAATTTAATAACAACAATCGTGATTTGGAAAATTAGCTGGATAGCTTATAATGGTTGCTGAACGACGCAGTATGTAATTTCACAGTCCAGAGAACTTAGCGTCGACTATAAAAGAGTCATTGGCTCTTTTGAAATAGTATCACATTTGGTCCAACTTCAGTTTTTAAACATGCAGCGTTCGTGGATGTTATTTGTGTCAATGGTCCTACTCTGCGCTTCATCTGTGCGCGGCTTCGACGAAAAGGATGCTATGGCCAAGATGATGGAAACATCAGAGGCTTGTGTGGGCAAGGTTGGCGCAAATGATGTTGATCTTCAGGAGCTGATAAAAAAGCAGCCAGCTTCAACTTACGAAGGAAAATGCCTTCGAGCTTGCGTAATGAAGAGCTTTGGTTTGCTCAGCGAAAGCGGAAAGTTAGACACGGGGGCCGCACATGAAAAAGCTAAGCAGTATACTGGGAACGATCCAGCAAAATTAAAACTGTCTCTTGAGATAGGAGACACTTGTGCTGCTATAAGTGTGCCAGAAGACCACTGCGAAGCCGCTGAAGCCTACGGAACTTGTTTTAAAGGAGAAGCTATTAAGCATGGCCTTATGTAGATCCAACTTTTAACATTGACTGGACCACAAAATTGAAAGCCCATCCCTGAAAACTTGTAAAATCCGAACATTATTGTACCCGCTTCTAGATAAGAATCAATAAAAGCATTTTACTTACTTTTAAAGAGCTTTTTCTTTTTTTCATCATCAATCTTTCCCAGAGCATCACGCAGATTACAACGCTCATCCTCATCCAGGTTACATAGAAGTTCCATCGCCCGTTCCGTGCTCAGGTGTGTACTAAACTTTGAGTAGCTCCTGCAAGCAGCAGAGCAACAGTGCGAGAGAGCCCGGGTTTGCTTTACAAAATGCGCACCGCCGGGAGATTTGTTACCAATTTTTGACCTAACAGAGATAGTCGACGATAGGAGTTGACGCTGATGAATTAATATTCTAAGCCCAGAAAGCGATTGTCGTTGCATTGTGGCTAAGTATTTGCAATTGTAAAATTAGATGATAGATAATTGCATTTGCCCAAAAAAAACCGTTCCGACCTAGGGTAATAAAATTATTAAAAAATTCTTAACACACTGGACTACAACGCGTGTCCTGCAGACTGAAAAGTGTCGTGGGCGCCAAAGCTCCTCGTCGTATAAAGCTTTTAGTCTATCTGCAAACTTTGTGGCTGGAACATGCACGAGAGTCACATAAACAAAAATTTATTTATTGAGACACTGTTACACGCATAAGCTTTTAATGTTCCCTCTCAGTGGTATTTTTCACAAAATTGCCAACGGTCCTTCTAAATTTTCTCTACTAACGAGAATCTTTAATAATTTAAGAGCTTATGTAATAGTTATAAATTCCATTAATTTAAATGTATTTATTCATAATTTTGATTTATAATAACTGGAGGGTGTCATTATTCAACTATATTTGGCATACATGTCAAAAAAGTAAGACGGCAACTATATTTGGCATATTTTGGTATACATGTCAAAAAAGTAAGACGGCAGTGACACTGATGATAAAATAAATACAGTCGAGTCCCGATAATTCCAAATGGCAAGGGGATCACTTTTTTTACGAATTAGACGGGAATTCAATTTATCGAGATTTCTATTTAACGGGGCTCAAAAATGAAAGAGTCGAATAAACGGGATTTTTACATTTCACATTATGTTTACATATGTATTTATCTTTATTAAAATTAAACAAACATTATAAGTATGTACATTTTTCAAATGAGGGAAAAATTAAACTATAACATTAAATTGTAATAATAAAAAATTAAACAATTAAGCAAAAACATTAAATTATAAAAAACAAAAATTCAAGCTTTAAAATAATTGGTAATTTTTGGTAATAATAATTGGTAACAGCAAACTAAACGAAAACAGTGAGAGAAACACAGTGAGAGAAACACATGATGCATAGCGACATAAAGGCGGCATAGCTGTCTGAAAAATCTAACGGTGCTTTAACTACAAAAAATTTTGCATCGCATTACGATTTATAAGAGGTTAAATATTCTTTGCGTTGCGCCAAATACTATGAATTAACGAGGGGACCAAAATGTATGGAATTAACGTATGGAATAATTTAATGTAAGGAATAAACGAGTTTTTTTCAAGGGGTCAGAATTTTTTACGAATTATCGCGATTCTTCATTTAGCAGGGTACGAATTATCGGGATTCGACTATAGAATAAATTAGGAAAACTGTTTTCATTTTTCAATGAAAGAATTATTTCTTCTAGATGTTTGTCTTCTTAGCATTGTCCCATACTCATCATCGGTAGTCCCAGTTTCCTTATTAGCCGAACTTCGTATGTAGTTTACTGGAATTTGTAGGATCTGGATCTGGGGGATCTGTAGGATATGAATACAATTGGATCTACTTTGTAACACTTCTTTGTAATACTTCAAAATAGTTTAAAAAAATGAATATTAAATACATGCTCAGAGAGGGAAATGGAAAATTATGTAAGCCCTTTAGGGCATTTTAGTTAAATCTGTTTGTTAGTGCAAGCCGATATATTTATTGCTTGTTTTCAGAAATGTTGTTTTTATACTATTAGGGGTGCTACAACCCCGGGTAATTGAGTGAAATGTGAAGCTCCAAACCTTAACATTTTCCAATTTTCCAGGGACCGTCATTGTTATAATTTTTAAAATAAAAATTATAAAATAAAAATTATTTGTTGATTTTTATGACAAAAATTGAAATATAACTCTTATTTTCAATTTTTATAATAATAATTAAGAATAAGAATTATTCTTCAATTTTTATAAAAAAAATAAAAATAAAAATTATGATTCAATTTTAACTAAATAAATTGAATAATTGAGGATTCCATGATTAAAACATTTTTAAGACCTGTTTTTTTAATAAAGAGTAACATTGTCATTGCAAATGCCATTATTAAAAAATTTTTCTTCACATAATTCACATAATCGAGTCTTCCTTTTGTAATGAACACTGTTATTTATGGAATTATTAAGGAATCCTTGATTATGTCCTTTAAGGACACATTAATTGAAAGGTACTGCGCCACAGATCATAAAAAATGTAAGCGGTTTTTTAATAGTCCACTCGGTTCAGAAGTTATTCGCATTCAATTTTTATTTTCAATTTTTATAATAAAAATTTAATTGTAACACTTATTTTCAATTTTTTTAATAAAAATTGAATTAAAATTTTTATTTTTATTTTTTTTTATAAAAATTGAAAAATAATTCTTATTCTTAATTATTATTATAAAAGTTGAAAATAAGAGTTATATTTCAATTTTAGCAATAGAAATTGAAATAAAAGTTTATTGTGTTTCTGGATTCACCGTTAAAAAATGGTATATGTGTCCTTTTCCCACTCCCCACAAAGGCTTTTTTGTCGTTCAATTTTTTTGAACTCATAAGTCTTATTTGCAGTCCCTGCAATTTTCTAATCAAAATTTCTTAACTTTCCCATGTTTCCCTCAGACCTTTTTTCCATTTCGAAAAGTTTAGCGTTGAAAAAACCCCCTTTATAAATGATTAAAATGCAATCCAAATAAAATTGGATCCATGATAAAGGGGTAAAAATAAATTTGAAACTCATTCAATAAATTTTATTTTTATACCCGTTACTCGTAGAGTTTAAGGGAATGTTGCTTGTCTACGGACAGACGGTCATGGCTATATCGACTCGGCTGTTGATGCTTATGGTGTCGAAGATGATTTCTTCCCTATGTTACATACATACATAGAGTTATGTTACATACATCTAAAAAAAAGGGGCATAACAATATAAACTTTTGCTCTACGATTATCGGTTATAATAATTGTTAAGAGGAGACCCAAATAAATAGGTCCAAAGATTATAAAGTACATAGATGGGACATCAGGACCCAAAACGGCCAACTTTTTTCGTGGAGCTTGTTGGTGAGGGGGGAACGCACATGCATACGATTCTATTTTTAGAACTCTTTACATGTATCCGTCAACAAAAATATGAACCTATGTGTGTATGTGTGACTGCTCGCACGACGGCGTAAAAATGTTTTTGCTTCCAAATTTCAATTTCACGTTTCTGTTTTCAATGCGCCGATGCGGTAGTTAGTAGAACAACCAGTATTTTTAATCGCTACAGATTGAGACAGGGTGGTAGCGTAATGCATGGAGTAGTTACTCTATGTATAATTTTTCTGTGTTCAAATCCTCGTAAGGACTTTGAACTTTTTCTTTCTTTTATAATTGTTATTTTTTTATTTTTCTTTTATTGTAATATTTTTCTTTAATTTTACAATTTTAAAATTGTTTAATTTTTCATTATGTCCCGCTACTAAAATGCTAAAAAAAATTTCATGGGAGTCCTTCCGGCATTTTGTCATCCGACACGTCCGTCACTTATTTTTACAACAATCGTAATAAAATGCAATTAAAAATAATGATAATAACGTAAAAATGAAAATTAATACAAAAAAATTAATAAAAAAATAAAAGTAAATATAAAAAGAATCATAGAATCATAAAACTACAACTTTCCAAAAATTAAAACAATCGCCCCGCTAATGAAATCGAACCCAGGACCCCAAGAATAAGGAGCGCGCACTATCCATCTAGGATACCCTCGAAGTTGATTTAATACTTTATACTTAAAATTGGTGTTAAAGGAAGCACGAAAATCCATACCAAAAACAGAGCTGAAGAGGAAGGATAGTTAAAGATATATCTGATTTCTTTGCTCTCACATTAGTTCGATTTTAACGTTTCAAACTTTCATCGTTCCAAAGATGTTACGATCTAAAAATAGAATTCTCTCTTTCCTCTCATTTGCCAGCCGTTTGTCGTGGAACCCGCTTTCAAATGTTTTTCAGAGCAGCCTGCCAAAATGACCTAGAACCCGCACTTATAGACATTTTAACAGCGGGTTCCATTACGAACTGAGACGATGTTAAGTTGATTTTAGCCTGGTTTGAACTTGTTCCAGCGCTGGAACCCGCCATAGTAAAATTTTCTTTGTACGAGATGTCCCATCTATGTACTTTATAATCTTTGATAGGTCTTGCTCCGTGCACTTGAATAGGGACAAGAATTTTTTTATGTTTCGTTTTATATTTCTATTAATCTACTAGGGCTATTGGCATATGCCTTTTTGATTTCTGAAGAAGAGAACATAGGCTAACTATGGAAATAAAAGAGAGGTCCCAACCATTTACCATTATAATTTTTTTTTCGTATTTGCTTTAACCATTCCTAGAAAGCTGTACATTTTTGCATGCACTTGAATAGGGACAGGAACTAAAAATTGGGGTTTAAGGAATAATATACAACATTTTATTAATTTTAAGGCTTATTTAATAAAAATTTGTCAAATTAAACTATTTTAATAATGTGTGGGGCTACCATTGTTGGATATAACCTCATAAATTCTATTAGGAATAGAGTCATATAGTGCCTTTATTTAATCTAATGATATTTGACTTCAGGCTGTGTTGATGGCATCCGTTAATGCTTGTATGTGTTTGTATTGTCTCCCAGATTCATATAATTTTTTTTGTCATCCATCCCCACACATTCTAAATTACATTGAGATCTTGAGAATATGGGGGCTCCATAAGATCCATGTTTTGCTGCCGAATCCAAGCTTTTACCACTCGTGCTGTGTGGATTGGGGCATTATCCTGTTGGAAAGTCCACGATAATGATCCAAAGATGTTTTTTGCCTCAGAAAACGCTTCCTCGAGTACGCCTTTGTAATGCGTTGCGTTCATTTAATAAGACACAATCTGCAGCTTGCATGTCTCATAGTATGTTAAAGCATCCCATACCATTACACCTTGACATAAAGTGTTTTTCTTTTCGTATATCACAAAAAAATATGAGAAACCATCAGGTCCATCCAAGTTAAAACGCTTTTCGTCTAAAAACACAACAGTATGCCATTCCTTCTGCCAAGTCATATGATAACGTGCATAGATGCAAGAATTCTTTGGTTATTTAACGGAGGTTTTTTTTTAGTTTTAATCTTTTCAGATGATTAGCTTGCCTTGTAGCTTGTATCTCCGTACTGTATCCACACTTGCATTTAAATTTAGTTTTTAATGAACTTTCGAAGCCGCACAGTGTGAGTTTGACGCTTCTCGAACAATTCTCGAACAATAGATAAAAGGACTTTTTGGGTGCATCCTTTCATGTTATTCCCATAATTTGCAGGGTTTTTAAGGAAATTGCAAATAACATTTTTGCTTTTTCGTATTTTTTCAGCAAATTTTCTGTATGTAAGATTACATTCCTTATACTTATTATACTTTTTTCAACAGCAGTTAGAGCTTTGCCGCGGCCCATCCTATCCTATTTAAAAGGTGTGTAAGTTGACAAATAATAAACTTTATCACATGGAATTTGGCTCAGAATGAAGAAATCACGTCTTTCCCTATTCAAGTTCATGCAAAAATGTACAGCTTTCTAGGAATGGTTCCAGGAAAAACCGGAAAAAAATTATAACGGGAAAATCTTGGGACCTCTCTCTTATTTCCAAAGTTAGCCTTTGTTTTATTCTTCAAAACTCAGCAAAGCACATGCTCTCGGAGCTGTAATAGATTAGGAGAAAAATAAAACGAAACATAAAAAAATTCTTCAGTATTCCTTTTACTTTGATTCGGAACGGTACTTCCTAAAAAAAACCGGAAAAAAAAGTTCATTTTTACAAAATAAAAAAAAAAAAATTTTGAAAATTGTAAATTATTTTTTCTGTTAAAAATATTTGCTTTTATTGTTTGTTACGGGGATAATTAAAACAAGAATGGCCCACGAGGCCAAGGGTCCCATCCCTTCCTCGGAGAAGGCCACTTTCAAGAGACCAAAAAGAATTTGTTACAATAAAGACGATGTGCAAGTAAGTGATGAAGTAGATATTTCGGATACGGAGGATTTGACTGGAGACGATGGGAATAATTCAACTAATCAAAGTCAAAAAGAAGAAAAGAAAAGAAAGTTAGAAAATTTTTGCTTAGAAGAAAATTTTCAATTGGATAAAAATGAAATTTTGTATGACATTTCTCACAAAGGGCCCTTTGTGGTCTATATTGACAAAATCGGAGATGCTGGCTTAGAGAGCCGACAGAACAGAGTCCCAATTAATCCGCTAGAGTTGAATGCTACACTTCGGAAACTCAAAATCAAAGACATAATATCCGTCAGTAAGATTGGCTTTGGACGCTGCAAAGCTGAGTTTAAGTCTGCTGCGGCAGCTAATGAAATTTTATTTTCAGTAGTAATTTTTTCCCTATTACGGCGTCGATATTAAACGTGACAGGGGGTGACAGGGGGGCTCAGAAAAAATTTTGCCCACTGGGCCTTTTTCCTTAAATCCGCCACTGCAAAATCAGAAGCGAAAATTAAATATCCCTCTCTGTTTTAAATTTTAGATGAAGTTGATACTAACGACAAAACTCTTTTCCCACAGCCATCATGGCAAAGGAAATCTACTACACCAATTTTACAAAATAACACCAAATTAGCCACGCAACATGTATTTGAAAATAACCCTTTTAACAAAGTTGTTAAGATCTCTCCTAACAAAAAAAAATTAGGAAAACAATGCCAACGACACAATGCATCATTGCAATGATCAGCTGGAAAGCTGCACTTAAAAAACATCTCAACGAAAAATTCAT